CATAGAAAATTATATGGAACAAAGAAATCAACACCATGAAAAGGCACATAACAAAAGTGACAGCAATAAATTCATATTTGTCGATAATTACGTATCTGGCAATTACATATCTGGGACTTGTCTCTAAGATTTATAGAAAACTCCAATGCCTCAACACCAAAGGGATTAACAATCCATTGAAAAACGGGAGGAGGACATGAATAGACAGTTCACCATGGAGGATATTTGGATGGCCAGCTAATACACGAGGAGATGCTCACAGTCATTGGCCATCAGAGAAATGTGAGTCAGAACAACGAGTTACCGTCTCACCCCAGCACTGATGGCAAGGTTCAATGAGAAAGAAAATGACAAATGCTATTGGGGATGTGGAGAGATTGGGACTCTAATACACTGCTGGTGGGACTACGAAGTGATACAACCACTGTGGAAAGCAATATAGCGATTCCTTAGAAAGCTGGAATTGGAGATACCATTTGACCCAGCAATCTCATTACTAGGTATAAATCCTAGAGAGGTGAGAGCCAGGATAGGAACAGATACATGCACACTCATGTTCATCACAGCACTATTTACAATAGTAAAAAGATGGAAACAACCTACATGCCCATCAGCAGAAGAATGAATAACCAAACTATGGTACATACACACAATGGAACGCTATGCAGCACTAAAGAATAATGTAGAGTCTGCAAAACACCACATAATACAGATGAACTTGGAGGACATTATGCTGAGTGAACTAAGTCAATCACAGAAGGACAAATACAGTATTAGTTCATTGTTGTGGAGGGTCAAGGAAAGGTTTATATATGGAGGGAAACTGTTGGTTGCCAGGAGTGGCAGGGGAGGGGCAAAAAAAAAAAAAAGCATTGACTCATGTCATTTTAATGTATCTCACTGTATATAAATTATATTTCAATAAAATGCATTAAAATAAATAGATAAATACCTGCAGAATGAAAAAATGAACCAAACCCTGTTAGAAAGGCCTGAAGAAGCCTGGGCTGTAAGCTGCAATGAACCAAGGACCTAGAGCCTAGCTGACAGCCCTGAGAGGGCATGGGTTGCCTGGCATCTTACTTGTTGTACAGCACGATGTCTGGCTTCCAGATCTTCTGTGCAGGGACACGCATGAACTCTGCCCCATCATAGTCAGAGGGGTTCCACTTCAGCTTGTAGTCATTCCAGATCTGCAGGGAGGAGGCAGGTAGGGAAGGACTAGCATGGCTTTAACGTCTCTTGATATAACTCGTCTCGGTGACTCCGCATCCCTGCTGTGTGTCACTGAGCCTCCTTTGTGCTTCAGACCACACTGCCGCAAATTGGCATGTGGGTGCAATAAGAGAGCAAGCATTGGGCTGGGGGTCTGCAGACTGCCTCCTTGTTCTAGGGGAGCCATTGCCTCTGACTGGATAATTCCAGCCCCTTTCTGGGTCCTCATCAGTCAAAGACTGTGAGTGCTTTTCCAGGCCACTTCTAGTATCAGGGTGGAATCTCCATCTGTTAGCCCCTATTTCTATACCCCTGAAACAGGCTTTTTAAGACATGTTCCCCACCAAGCCCTAACAAGAGGTGCTATTCGATTGCATAACCTTCCTCTACCTCCAGGTTAAATGAAGTTGGCCTCAGAAGTGTTCTGGGGACAGAGCCATGATCCTTTTCAGGCCCAGAAAGCGTTTGGGAGCAGAGGCTGAGAAGTCTGAGCTGTGAGCCCCTAAGAAGGGAGAGGTGAGCCTGTGGCCACAGCAGACACAAGTGCCATAGAGCACTGGGCGGTTACCATGCCCACCTGCTTTCCAGCCTCCTGGGGAGAAGGCTACATGAATTGAGCATTCAGCTGGCAGGGCTGGTGGAAGGTCACCCTAGGGTCAGTGAGTCATTATCTCTCAGCACATCTGGACAAAGCCTCCCTGGGAGGACACACTGAATTGATTTCTTTTGCTTCAATGTGATCAGGAAAAACCAGCACCCGCATCTCATCCCACCACCAAGACAACAACATCCAATTTTAATTTAAGGAGTTGATGGAGGTGCTCTCAGGCACTGCCCTAGAACAGGCAGCAAATAAAGTGGGTACCACCAGGGGGCAGCAGTGCCCAGGGCCTGCTTCACTTACTTGCTTCAGCCACAGGTTGGTCTCCATAATCTGATTTACTTCATCCTACAAAGATTAAAGCAGGCAGACTGGTAAATCACAAAAACAAGGCCCACTCCAGGAAAGGTTGTTCTAGAAGCCCCATATCCCACAGGCATGGCTCATGGCACTGGCACTCACCACCTTCACCAGCTGAGACATGGACACTTCAAACTGGATGATGACTGGGTCGGACACATTAGCTACAGGTCGAATGATCTCGTTGTAATCTTCAAACAGCCGCTCAAACAGACGGTGCTCAGCCTCAGAGGTGCCAGCCACTGAGAGAAGTATCCTTGTCAGACCCTGGAGAAACTGCTATTTGTCTCCCTATCAGGAACATCATCCACCTACAACCAGTAGGGGTACTTTGTGGAACCCTAGATTTTCAGGCTAGTCCTATCCTCTCGAGTTACGGATGGGGATACTGAGTTCCACCAGGTCACATACACAGTGAGAGGTAGAGTGCTTAGAAGCCCTAAAGTTGGAAAGCTCTAATTCAAACCACTTATGAGCTGTATGAGCTCAGACAAGTGGCTTAATTTCCCTGAACCTCAGTTTCTTTATCTGTAAAAGTAAAGATTATAAACGTACCTATAGGCACTCCTCAGAAGGAAGGTTGGGCAATCTACTTCTGTAGTGATGCTGCCTTGGAAACTCAAGGAGGGGTCGCTATGAGTCGGGTCCGACTCGACGGCACATAACAACAGAACACAACAACCTCATAGGGATGTTATGAGGATTAAATAAAATACTTCAAGTAATGTGTAATTTAGCTCAATCCCTGGCACGCAGTAGCCACTCAAGAACAATTAGCTATCTTTACCCTCATTATTACTACAGGGGAGGGGTGTGATGCAAATGCAATCTGCCTAGGTCCAGCCACTCACTGCTTTCATGATGGGCAGATGGACAGTGGGAGGGTCACCCAGGCCCAGTGTTCTGCCTCCCAGTCTGTGGGAGATTGCAGCCCAGGTCTGAGGTACCTCTTTGTCCCACCCAGGATCCTACAGGGGTTTGGCCAACAGTCTTTGTAGAAACCATGGCACCCACTGGGTGCCTATAATTTCAGAGTGTGACCCACGGTTCCTGCTAATGCTATCTTCATGTCCTGATTAAAGACCCTTACCTCTCTGTTAACCCTTGGGGACCTCCTTTGTCCACAAGCCACACCCAGCAGATGAGGTTTCTGCAGTTCTCCATTTACAGATCTAGAGACCCCAGAGAGAGGATGAAGAGAATCCTTGGGGAAGTCCAACCTAACTTCTCCAGGCCTTGAAATGGGATCTTGCTTGCCTCCCTTCTCCTTAGAGCTAAAGGAGGGGCCACAGCTCTGCGGAGAGGGCAAGCAACTCTGAATAGTAAGGGCGTCAGCATGTAGGGGCAGAAACAGCTGCGTACACAGCCACAGAGCGTTCTCCCAAACGACTATTCAGCTTTGCGCTCCCAGGGAACCCCTTGCAGTCCTGCCAAGTCCCTCGTCCCTTGCTATCTAGCAACACAACCAGCCACTGGCAGGGCAGCATTTCACACCCTCCAGTGCCTCCCAAAGAACCGCCTGGCGTCGAGTTAGAGCGGGACTCTAACTCAGAGGGCCTAACGGGCTCCCTTCTAGAGACAAAAGCGGGAGGCTGGGAGATGCCTCTGCTCGGCAGTTAGGGTCTCAAAGTAACGCTGCCAGGAGCGGCTCTGGCCTCAGTCTCCAAACGACCCCCCCCACACACACACACACACACGCACACAAACACACGACTTGGCCCTTTAGCCTTTAGCCCTTTCTGGGCTGTTTCCCCACTTACACGTAACAAGAAGAGGTGGGCAGGTTGCACCAAATGACACCAGAGGCCTTGGTGCGCCAGTTCCGCAACCAGTGCGCCAAGCAGGGCCAGGATTTGAACCCCTAAGCCTTCCCCATGTCTTCTGGGAAGGCGCCTAAATGACCCTCGAGGAGAAGGTGAGCAGTAACAGAAAGGACATCTCCCACCCAACGCGCCGCCGACCCAAACCGAGTCCACGCGGAGTCCGAGTCCCCGGAACGGTGAATCCGGTCCTGCACTCGCCAGCACCCCTTCTCTCCGCTTCCCCACGCTGTGCTCTCCGCTCCGACCCCTTCTGAACCCGCCTTCCCAGTTCGGGCGCCTGTCTCTCCCGCGTCCCGGAGCAGGTACCTGGCAGCAGCATTAGCAGAAACAGCAGTGACCGCGGTGGCGGCGCCCGGGCTCCGCGCGCTCGAGCGCCCATGGCTCTTCGGCCCCTGCAGCCACAGATAACGTGCGCCGGCGGGCGAAGTCGGGGGCTCAGCCGGCTGGAGCTCCTGGGGGATGCTGGCCGAGCGGACCCGAGTGGCCGGACGCGGGGGTAGCCGTCGGGGAGACAGCCTCGCCCTGCCAGACTCCCAGCGCAGATCGCCGACACCTAGCGGTGCTAGGGGTGAGGAGGCGCGGGGCTAAGCGAGCTGTGGGGCGCTGGCTCCTCCCGGCTTCGCGCCCACACCAGAGCGCTGGACCCCGCCCACAGCCTCCAGGGTCACGCCCACGGCCGCCGGGGTCCAGTAGCAGTCTTGCTTGCCGACCGGGCAGAACCCTAGTAGATTCTCAGGAAGCTGAGGCGGACGAGGAAGGTGTTCTCTCTCCAAAGGGAAGGGGTTAGCGGTCTCTAGGTCCCTGAGCCAAGCGGTCTCATCCCTTTCTCACTGGCCTTTGTAGCTCCCACGGACAGCTCCGCGCCACACCAGATCTGAACACGGCCAAATCTGTCTTTGGCTCCTCTGGCGTGTGCCAGGGGGTTGGGGACCACTAACTAGGCTGGGTGGCCGCTGTAGAAGTCAGCAGATCTGCCCAAATTTCTAATTCGCTCTCAAAACGAGACCTCAAGTGTTTAACGCTTATTATTAAAAAGAAATTAAGTATTATGATATTTGATTGGTTTTCAAAGAGTCCTCATAGTTTAGGTGGGTGAGTTGCAGTCAACTGAAATAGCATTGGTCATGAGTTGATAATTGTTGATGCTGGCTGGTGGATACCTGGAGCTTCGTTATACTATTCTCTCTACTTAGTATATGTTTTAAATTTTTCCTTAATAAAAAATAAAGCAAGACAAAAGAAAGGAAACGAAAACGAAAACAAAAAAAATTAGGCTTCTAGGTAGAGCCACTAGAGGGGTGCCCACTCCCCTCCCCCTTGGCTTTCTGCACCCTCCTGCAGAACCTCCTGTGTCTGCCCCCGACTCCCCGCCCCGCAACCCTAGACAGTCCCAAAGACATGCTGTCTTTGGTCTCTCTGGCCACCCACCAGGATCATGGTAGGGAGAGGCTTCCTTGTGGACCCTTTATCACAGGACGAAGTTTTGTGATAAACCTTTTGACATTCCAGCAAGTGATGAGTCCTTTATTTTTTCTAGAACAGTCTACCTACCCAAAACGGGGACATTTTGCAGAACACAGAAAATATTTGCAAGGATTGGGGCCCACCTCTCAGGCCCCCATTTAAAGTATTTTTATTCTCCTGACAAAAAGTCTTCCATTCAGAAAATATTTGCAAATCACATACACACACAAAAAAAGACTTGTAACAAGAATATAGAAATAACTCTCAAAACTCGACAGTAAGTATGAACGGATATGACAGATCTTTTTTTTTTTTTCTGTAGTGTTCTCTCTTTGCAACCAACAAAGTTTCCCTCCATAGATAAACCTTTCCTTGACCCTCCACAACAACAAACCAATACTATATTTGTCCTTCTGTGACTGACTTATTTCACTCAGCATAATGTCCTCCAAGTTCATCCATATTATGTGGTGTTTTGCAGACTCTACATTATTCTTTAGTGCTGCATAGCATTCCATTATGTGTATGTACCATAGTTTGGTCATCCACTCTTCTGCTGTTGGGCATGTAGGTTGTTTCCATCTTTTTGCTATTGTAAATAGTGCTGTGATGAACATGAGTGTGCATATATCTGTTCCTATCCTGGCTCTCACCTCTCTAGGATATATACCTAATAATGAGATTGCTGGGTCAAATGGTATCTCTAATTCCAGCTTTCTAAGGAATCGCCATATTGCTTTCCACAGTGGTTGTATCACTTCACAGTTCCACCAGCAGTGTATGAGAGTCCCAATCTCTCTACATCCCCACCAGCATTTGTTATTTTCTGTCTTGTTGAACTTTGCCATCAGTGCTGGGGTGAGATGGTATTTCATTGTTGTTTTGATTTACATCTCTGGATATGAGAGATCTTGATGGGAGCTCTGGTGGTGTAGTGCCTAAGGCATTTGACTGCTAACCAGAAGGCTAGCGGTTCAAACCTCTGGCCACTTCTCGGAAGGAAGATGGGGCAATCTACTTCCGTAGTGATACCGCCTCAGAAACCCAAGAAGGGGTCGCTATGTGTCAGATACAACTCGATAGCAGTGAGTTTGGTTTTGGTTTTGGACTGGGGTGATGAAAACATTGTAAAATTGGATTATGGTGAAAAACTTACTAAAACTCATTGGATTGTACACCTAAAATGAATGTAAATTTTGCCTTAAAAATTGTTTACCATTTACCTCAAGTAGACACACGCCCTGGAGAGAACAATCATGGGAGAAGGAAGGGCTGCTTATGCACAGGGAGATAGCTCAGGGTGCAGAAGAGTATGAAGGGATGGACACTGGGAGGAGGTAACTATGGGGAGGAAGTGGGAGGGGAGCTGCTGCATTGTAAATTTTGGTCAATGACATGAGACAAAGTATATGTGAACTGCTGTATGAAATGTGAATTTACTCTGTAAATCTTCACCCAAATCCTAATAAAAAAAAAAATTGTTTACAATTTTAAAAAGAACCACACATACAAAAACAGAAAAAGAGACTCTCAAAAACAAGCAAATAAAGCTGATTTTAAAATGAGCAAAAGAGTTACACAGACACTTCACCAAAGAGCATATATAGAAGGCAAATAAGTATATAAAAAGATATTCAGTATCATTGCCATTAAAACCAAAAAAAAAAACAAATTCATGGCTGTAGAGTAGGATCCAACTTTTAGCGACCCTTCCTTGGGTTTCTGATGCAGTAGTGCCTAAAGGCACTTGACTGCTAACCCAGAAGGCTGGCGGTTCAAACCCACCAGCCACTCCTGGGAAGGAAGATGGGGCAATCTACTTCCATAATAATACTGCTTCGGAAACCCAAGGAGGGGTCACTATGAGTCAGGTCCAACTTGACGGCACATAGCAACAACATAACATCTCTATGGAAGTAGATTGCCCAGTCTTCCTTCCAAGGAGGGGCTAGTGGGCTTGAACCTCCAGCCTTCTGGTTAGCAGTCAAATGCCTTAGGAAGTATGCCACCAGAGCTCCTATCACTGGCCATTAGGGAAATGCAAATTAAATCCAACTTTACCCATTTACCAACTGGGATACAGGACAGATTTGTTATGGACAGAATTGTGTCCCCCAAAAGTATGTATTGCAAATCTTAACCTCTGCACCTGTTGTTATAATCCATTTGGGAATGGGCTTTCCCAAATGGATTATGCTAGATGTATAAGATGGTACATCTAGTGTATGTACCACCCACTAGAATGGCTAAAATAAATATTTACAATACCAAGTGTAGATGATGGTGCAGGGCAACTGGATATTTCATACATTGCTGATAGAGATGAAAAATGGTACAACCACTCTAGGAAATAGTTAGGCAGTTACTTAAACAACATTAAGCATGGACTTCCAGTGAAACCCAGCAATCATACTCATGGGTATCAAGAGAAATGAAAACTTTCGCCCACACAAAAACCTCTATGTGAATGTTTGTGGCAGCTCTATTCATAATCTCTAACAACTGGGAACAATCTAAATGTTCTTCAACATTCATACACTAGAATATACTGCTCAGCAATACAATGGTGCAAACTATTGACATCTGCAACCACTTGGATGAATCTCCAAGACATTATGCTGAATGAAAGAAGCTAGTCCCGAAACATTACGTACTTCATGGTAACATTTATAAGGCATTCTTGAAAAGACAAAACTATTGTATAGCGATGGAGAAAAAACTCAGTGGTTGCCAGGGGTTAGAGGTGGGGAGAGGACTGACTAGAAAGGAATAGTCAAATGGAGTTTTTTGGTGATAGATCTTGTTTTAGTTATCTATAGTTCTGCTATAACAGAAATACCACGAGTAGGTGACTTTAACAAACAAATTTATTTTCTCACAGTTTAGGAGTCTAGAAGTCTGAGTTTAGGGTGCCAGCTCTAGGGGAAGGCTATCAGCTGTGAGGGAAGGGCCTTGTTCCTTGGTTCCTTGATCTTCATATAGTGTGACATCTGTCTTCCCCCATCTCTGCTTGCTTCTCTGTACCTAATCTGCTTGGTTTATATCTCAAGAGATTGATTTAAGGCACACCCCTATAGTGCCTCATTAGCATAACAAAGAAACCCCATTCCCAAATGGATTATAACCACAGGTATAAAGGTTAGGATTTACAATACATACTTTTGGGGGGACACAATTCTGTCCATAACAAATCTCTCCTGTATCCCGATTGGTAAATTGGTAAAGTTGGAGGGGAAATTTTTTTTTTTTTTTTAGTAACTTTCTGAGGCATAATTGACATGATAGTTGTTACATGAATCTATACATGTATTAAAATTCATAGAACTGTACATCCAAAAAATGTCAGTTTTAGTGTATAATCATTTTTAAAATAGAATTTTTAAGAAGTTTTCCATTCCATAAATATTTTGGGTGCAAGCATAGCAACAGTTGTGGGGACGGCTCAGGACTGGGCAGTGTTTCGTTTTGTTGTGCATGGGTCGCTGAGTTGAAACCAACTCAGTGGCACCTGACAATAACAACTGTGTGCCAGGCACTAGGCAAAAGATAGTACATGGGAGGGAACAGAGGGGTTATAAAATCAGAGCATCTGTGACAGAGACAGACCTAAACCCAGCCAAAATATAAGAGCAGGAAGTGGCTGGGTTGTGGAATCACATAGGAGGGGGCCTTTCCTTTTAGGGGAAGTGTATTAATTCCCTGGGGTTGTCATTGCTTTTAAGAACAAAGAGGTCATGTTGAAGACTAAGGTGTGCCTAACCCAAGCCATGGTATTTTCAATAGCCTCATATGCATATGAAAGCTGGACAATGAATAAGGAAGACTGAAGAAGAGGTGATGCTTTTGAGTTGTAGTGTTGGCGAAGAATACTGAAAGTACCATGGACTGCCAGAAGAATGATCAAATCTGTCCTGGAAGAAGTGCAGCTGAATGCTCCTTATAAGTAAGAATGGCCAGACTTCATCTCACCTACTTTGGTCTTGTTGACAGAAGGGACGACTCCCTGGAGAAAGATGTCATCCTTGGTAAAGTAGAAGGTCAGTGAAAACAGGGAAGTCCCTCAACAAGATGGACTGACACAGTGGCTGTGATGATGGGCTCAAGCACAGCAAGGACTGAGGATGTCGCGGGACTGGGCAGTGTTTCCTTCTGTAGTATATAGAGTCGCTATGAGCTCTGGTAGTGTAGTGCCTAAGGCACTTGACTGCTAAACCAGAAGGCTGGCAGTTCAAACCCACCAGCCGCTCCTCGGAAGGAAGTTGGGCAATCTACTTCTGTAGTGATACCCAAGGAGGGATCACTATGAGTCGGGTCTGACTTGACGGCACATAACAACAACATGAGTCAGAGCCAACTTGACACCGCCTAACAACAACAACAGGGCTGCCATAATAAAGTACCACAAACTGGGTAGTTTAAAACAATAGAAATTTATTCTCTCACAATTCTGGAGGCTAGAAGTCCAAATGCAGGGTGTTGGCAGGGCCATGCTCTCTCTGAAGGCTCTAGGAAAGAATCCTTCCTTCTCTTCCAGCTTCTGGCAGCCCCAGAAGTTCCTTGGCTTGTGGCAGCACTCCAGTCTCTGTCTTCACATGGCCTTCTTCCCTCTGCAACTGTCGCTGTCTCTTCTTTTAAGGACACCAGTCCTACTGGATAAGGACCCACTCTCCTCCAGTAGGGAGCTCTGGTAGCATAGTGCCTAAGGCATTTGACTGCTAACCAGAGGGGTGGCAGTTCAAACCCAACAACCATTCCTCAGAAGGAAGATTGGGCAATCTACTTCCATAGAGATACTGCCTGGGAAACCCAAGGAGGGGTCGCTATGAGTCACAATTGACTCAACGGCAGTGAGTGAGTTTTGCTACTCCAGTATGACCTCATGTTAACTATATCTGCAAAGACCCTATTTCCAAATAAGGTCACATTCACAGGTATCAGGGGTTAGGACTTGAACATATCTTTTTGGAGAACATAATTCTATCCAAACATGTAGGAGCCAGGGACAACTGCTCAGAGGAGGTGTGTGAGCTTAAAGGATGAGCAGGCACCAACCATTCATTCATTCAACACATTTATTGATCACCTACTGTATGCCAAGCTCTGTCCTCTGCTTGGGGATCCCACAGTGAACATAAAGGATGAGGTCCATGCTCTCATGGAGCTCACACTCTATCAAGTGAGAGGCGATCAACAGACCAAGTAAGAACTTCAGGTGCTGAGGAGTGTGTGAGGAAGGTGGTGGGGCAGGGTAGTCACTGGGGAAGCTGCTTTATAATCAGCAATTAGGCAAGGCCTCTGGGAGGAGATGACATTGTAGCACAACCCTGAATGATGAAACTATGGGAAGAGTAGGGGGATAAGCTTTCCAAGGAGAAGGTATAGAAAATGCAAAGCCTCTGAGCTGGGATGGGTCCTGGAGTGTTTGACTGAAAGGCCAACCTGGTTGGAGCCAAATGGATAGGGGCGAGTGGAGGCATGAACAGATGAAGAGGTCATCCTTGGTATAGGCAAGAAGTATGGTACATGGCGCATAGTAGGTCCTGCTCTTATGCTCATCTCTATCCACATAGCCTAGAGCAAGGAAGGAAGACAAACTTGGATTTAATTGTCCAAAGTGCTCTCCCTCTGTCAGTTTCTTGGGGTTCTTCTAGGCCTTCAGAAAGGACAGTCCAGGTCCTCCTTCCTCATCCTTTCTATAGGTGTGGCTAGTTTGATGAGGTCAGTGGCCAATGGTCACATATTTATTTAGGTCCTCATCAGCAGTGACCTAGAAAGAAGCAATCAACTGCCCACCCAACCGCTCACATCATCTCACCCTGCACTCCTGTGCGCCTGTGGGAGCACACACATGGCAGCCTAAGGCTCCTCAGTGGGTGTATGGGTCTGGAAGAGAGGAGGCAGGAAGAGCCCCACAGTGCCCACCACACACACAAACACAAACACCCACAGGAACAGCCGGTCAACCACCATGGCCACGTACTTCCAGTCCTCAATGACCTGTGGGCAGATAAAGGGGCTGGTTACAGGTGCTAAGCACTGAGGTCTTCCCTACTTTCCCTCCCTTACTCCAAGTCAAGCCCTCACGGTCAAGTCAGTGACCCCCCACAGGCCACAGGCTTGGAACCACATGCTAGAGTAGCAAGTCTGAGTTCGAGGCTGGTCTCTTAGATGGAACTCTGTGCCTTTCAGTGTCCTCAGACTTAATGAATCACCCCTACCTGCCTCCTACAGCATTGCAGAGCCACTGGGTACTAGGGTTGTACAGAAAAGTTAAGACTAGAAGGGGTTATTAATGCAGCATATTGTGATTTGAAAACCCAAGCTAATACACAAGGGGGATAATGCCTGAGGATCACAAGGCCCCTTCTCATTTTCCTCCCAAACCCTCTGCCAGAGCTGGTTCTGCCCAAAGGAAGGTTTGGGTACCCCATAGCTCAGTGGGTGGGGCAACTAGAGCCTGTAGGACACCTGGAAATCAGATTGCTTAATTTGATCACTTCATTTGAGGCATACCTCAGAGATAGTGCAGATTTGGTTCCAGATCAGTATAATAAAGCAAACATCACAGTACAGTGAGTCAAAATTGTTTGGTTTCCCTGTGCATATGAAAGTTATAATTATACTATAGTCTATTAAAGGAGCTCTGGTGGCACAGCACCTAAGGCATTTGACTGCTAACCAGAAAGTTAGTGGTTCAAACCCACCATCTGCTCCACAGAAGAAAGATGATCTTTCTTTTACTTCTGTAAAGATTTAAAACCTTGGAAACAAAATAGGGGTCACTATGAGCCAGAAGTGACTTGATGGCAGTGGGTTTGATTGTTTCTTTTCTTTTTTTGGGGGGGTCTAGTCTGTTAAAGATGCAATACTCAAAAGTCAAACTCACTGCTGTCAAGTCAGATACAACTCATAGCGACCCCTCCTTGGGTTTTCAAGGCAGTATCGCTAGGGAAGTAAATTGCCCAACCTTCTCTCCAAGGAGTGGCTGGTGGGTTTGAACCACCAGCCTTCTGGTTAGTAGTCAGATGCCTTAGGCATTACGCCACCAGAGATCCCTTTTTTTAGTTGAGTTTAGTCTATTAAGTATGCAATAGCATTATGAAAAAGGAGCTTGGAATTTGACTGCTAACCAAAAGGTTAGTGGTTCAAACTCACCAGCCACTCTGCAGAAGGAAGATTGGACAATCTACTTCCATAAAGATTTGCTGCCTCGGAAACCCAATGGGGGTCGCTGTGAATCAGAATCGATTTGATGGCAGTGAGTTTGTTTCTTCGGTCACATTATGAAAAGTATGAAATATTGGTAGAATTACCAAAATGTGACACAGAGACAGAAATCACTTTTTCTAACAATACATGTTGTTAGAAAAATGCACCAATAGACTTGTTCAACAAAGAGTTGCCACAAACCTTCAAGTTGTTAAAAAAAAAAAAAAAAAACCCACAAAACAATGCAGTATCTGCAAAGCGCAATAAAAGGGGTATGCTTATAATAGTAACCAGTAACCAGTTGCCCTTACATCAGCTTCAACTCATGGCAACCCCACGTGTGTCAGAACTGTGTGCTCTGTAGGGTTTTCAGTGGCTCATTTTTCAGAAGTGTATCACCAAGCCTTTTTCTGAGGCAGTTCTTGGTGGAGTCAAATCTCTAACCTTTTGGTTAATAGCCAAGTGTGTTATCCGTTTGCACCTGCTATTTCCTATAATTAAGACCCAGCCTCCTCCTTTTCCATCATCTGGGTTTCTTTCACTCCTGGGTCTTCTCAGACCTTATTGTCAGGTGTGAGGTTGACAGAAACCTGGCTGGCCTCCACAAGTGCCATCCCAGACATGCCCACCACCCTTTGTGCTCGGGGAAACACTGAGAGACCTATGTACCCAGTGTCTTGGCCTCCCTGATGTCTACTTTCAAGTCCTCACCTATCTGGATCACACTGCATACTTTCCTGGTAAGCATGGTAGGACCAGAAGGACTCAACAGAGGCTCCAGAGTTGGGAATGCGGGTGGCAACAGGCAAGCTGATGTCAGTGACCCAGTTCTTCAGGGCCAGTGGATGGTGTGTGTTTACCCTCCAGGATAATCCAGTTTTGAGCTAGCGCCTCCACCCCCCATCCTACATGCCTGATGCCTGTTCCTAAGCCGCAGCAGGCTCTCATGGCACTCTCCCCAGCTTCCTTACATTTCTTTTTGACAGTCCTAATTTCAAAGGGTTTTTTTTTTTTTCTTTGTTGCTGCCTTTTCCCCCTTTTTATATTTTTGTGCTATTTATAGTGACCAGTTAATCACCAGGGAGGGTGAAAGTGCTGAAGACGAGAAACACAGCATGGGCTGGCTGAAGGGTGGGCCTGTTCTGGGAGGGAAGAAAGCCTCTTTTGTCCAACTAGACGTGAGAAAGTCAATCACCTAATGAGTCCACCATGTGCTCAACACAGGGCAAGGCAGTGGGAAGGGAGGGCAAGAGAGTTTAAGAACATCAGAGAGACCTGGATATGGAACTTGGTTCTGCCCTGTGCCAGCTGTGTGACCCTAGGCAAGTCAGTGAGCCTCTCTGAGCCTTACTTCCCCCATTGTAAAATGAGAATTTGAGTAAAAGCCATGGCACAATTCCAACTCATACCAACTCCCATTGAGTTTCAGGGTGGTAGGTAAATCTTTACTGAAGTAGATTGTCTCATCTTCCTTCCGTGGAGTGGCTGGTGGGTTTGAACCGCCAGCCTTCTGGTTAGCAGTCAAATGCCTTAGACCCTGAACCACTAGAGCTCCTTTTAATCCCTTCTGAGTGGTGTCTTATAAAAAGGGAAAACAAACGTGCACTGGGGAAGACAGATATTAAGTGAAGATACATCTACAAGTAACCAAAGAAATGCAAAGAAATGTTTAGGCAACAGAAGCAAAAAGAGGCAAGGATCTTTCCTTAGAGCCCAGAGAGAAAGAGACTGCCTAATCTTGCTGATGCCTTGATTTCTAACTCTGAGCCTCCAAAACTTTGAGGATAAATTTCTGGTTTTTACAGCCACACACTTGTGGTAGGTATTTTTTTTTTGTTACAACATCCCTAGATAACTCAGTGTGGTGTAGCAAATTACTTAGTGCGGCTTTTCTACCCATAAGTCTTTGTAAACTCCAAGGTGGGATTTTCTATGAGCAACTGAGGAGCTCCTGATTGCTGCAGTTGTCCATGTATTTCTGTTGGGAGTGGAACAAAACAATGCTCTGGGAAGTGCCCACTCTCTCTCAGGTGCTTAGAGTTCTGATGCTATGATTGGCTAGTTTGACTACCCTGACGGGCTCAAAAGGAGGCTTCCTAGGGTCAGAACTCTCTCTGACTGCTGGTTGAAGAAGACATGCTGCTGAAAGAGACACGCGCTCGGGAAAGAGACACGTGCTGCTGGGAAAGAGACACAAGAGACACGCATTGCTGAGTGAGACACCGAGGGACCAGTACTGCTGGGAAAGAGACTGTGAGAGACTGTTGGCCGAGGGACGGTGGGCTGGGAGAGAGACTGAGCATTTTTCCTGAACTCGAATTGTAGCCTGTGGTGCTTCCCTAATAAACCCCATAATCTGTGAGTTCTGTGTGGCCACTGCAGCGAATTATTGAACCCCGGAGAGAGGTGGTGGGTGCTTTGGGAGGAACGGTTGGTGAAAGGGCTGGAGGGAGGCAGCATGTCTGGCCTTGTAGGAATAGGCCTTGGGTTACTGCTGGTAATCCTGTCTTTCTCTTGTAGGGTTAGAGAAAGTCAGAAGATGTGGCCTCCTTGCCGTTTTTGCACTCAGACATCAGGATTCCTTGGGAGAGTTGTTGTTGTTGTTGTTATGTGCTGTCGAGTCGGCCCCGACTCATAGTGACCCCTCCTTGGGTTTCCAAGGCAATATCACTACGGAAGTAGATTGCCCCATCTTCCTTCCGAGGAGTGGCTGGTGGGTTTGAACTGCCAGCCTTTTGGTTAGCAGTCAAGTGCCTTAGGCACTATGCGACCAGAGCTCCTTGGGAGAGTTAGCAGAAATGTATGTCAAATCCTAGCAGAGCACCTAATGTATGGTCAGGTTCAGTGAACGCTGGCAATTATAATAACAATGGGTCCTGGTTGGTCCCTTCTTGCTAGAAACATCAGGAGGCCTGTGAGTGCCAAGGGGGTGGTGAGGCCTTTAGAAGAGTGAGCTCAGGGGTGGGTGCTGGCTCAGCCAGGGGTACAGAAGAATAGTACTTCTCAATCTGTAAGGTGCACGTGAACCATTGGAACCAGTTGCCATGGAGTTGATTCCAACTCATAGCAACCCCATGTGTATCAGAGCAGAATTGTGCTCCATAAGGTTGTCAGTGGCTGATATCTCAGCAGCAGATTGCCAGACCTTTCTTCTGAGGCACCTCTAGGTGGACTTGCACCTCCCGCCTTTCAGTTAGCAGCTGAGTGTGTGACCCGTTTACACCACACATGGATTCTGTGAACCATGGCACCAAACCAAAACCAAACTCACTGCCGCTGAGTCAAACCTGACTCATAGCAAACCCTCTTTGGGTTTCTGAGGCGGAATCACTACAGAAGTAGATTGCCCAACCTTCCTTCCGAGGAATGGCTGATGGATTTGAACCTCCAGCCTTCTGGTTAGCAGTTAAATGCCTTAGGCAATATGCAACCATGGGACTGCTGGTTAAAAATGGAGGCTCCTGAACACCTCCCCCAGAAATCCTGGCTCCTCTAGAATGGGCAGCCCCAGAAACTGTATTTTGAAATGTTCCCCAGGGGTTCTCATTTAACCAGCAGGGCCCCAAGTGACACACTGATATTTGAGGAACCAATGAATTAGTTAATAGTGAGCTACTAAATGGTTTTAAACTAGAACATAACATGGTCAAATCAATGTTTTAGAAACTGAAATCTGATAGTAACATAGGGCTCAGCTTCTCTAACTGTAATGTGCCTGTGAATCTCCTGGGGCTCTGGTTAAAATGCTGATGCTGATTCTGCAGGTCTGGGGGAGGGCCTGAGATTCTGCATCTCTAATAAGTTCCCATGGAGCCCTGTTGGCACAGACAGTTAAGCGCTCGGCTGCTATCTGAAAGGTTGGTGATTTGAACCCACTCACCAGCTCTGCAGGAGAAAGACCTGGAGATCTGCTCCCGTAAAGACTCCAAAACCAAAATCAAATTCACTGCCAAGGAGTCGATTCCTACTCGGAACCACCCCCATTGGGTTTCCAAGGCTATCAATCTTTACAGAAATAGATTGCCCCATCTACCTTCCATGGAGTGGCTAGGGGGTTTGAACTGCTGACCTTTTGGTTAGCAGCCAAATGCCTTATCCACTACACCACCAGAGCTCCTTCCCATAAAGACTCCAAACCAAACCAAACTCACTGCCATGGAGTCAGATCCGACTCATAAGCAACCCCTCCTTGGGTTTCCAAGGCAGTATCACTATGGAAGTGGATTGCCCAATTTTCCTTCTGAAGAGTGGCTGGTGGGTTTGAACCACCAGCCTTCTGATAAACAGTTAAATGCCTTAGGCCCTAAATCCTATGGGGCACTTCTGCTTTGTCATATGAGATCACTATGAGTCAACATCCACTTGACAGAAGCTGGCAACAGCAGCAAGTTCCCAGGTAATGCTGATGTTGCTGGTGTGAGGACCACACTCAGAGTAGCAAAGATAGAGAAGAATATCTCACGTCCTATATTCCGTGTGTTAGCAAGTCTCTTCTTTCTTTTTATAGTGTCCTTTTGGAGCTCTTTTCTCTCAGTACAAACTAAAGGAACCCCAGTGCTTTCCCTTGAGAATGTGCCTAGTGAAAAGGAACAGAAAGATAAAAGCAAGGAGATATTCTCTTTGTCCCCATGTAGCTCCAGAGAGGGAGACACCATGTTGTGTCATAAAAGCCTGCTCAAAAAATCTGACCCAATAAGGTGTTGAAATGAGAACATTCACAAGAATGAAGCTGCTTCTTCTGCCTAGTATGGAAATGTGTGAAAATTTTTGTTACGATCACGTTCTGCGTTTGGTTCTTATGAACTTGTCCTTAGAAGTGTTATTTGTTCAAAGGAGTTGTTTGAGACTCCAAACATTAGCACTCGTTGCTTTGTCCTATAAAAATCTGTAATTCTAGCAACTCTACTTGCTAATTTATTACACTGGTAGCAATAAAATTTTAACTGAAGTTTCTGTACTTCTAAAAGCTATAAATCCTTGTAAGTCGTCTTTGCAAGTTGGAAGAGGATGGGAGCAGATACCCTGGCTGCCCAGCCCACATGCATTCCCTAGAGGTGGGGCAATCAATCACCAGTCCATGGCAGCCTCGCACTTCAAGAGCCTGCATCTCTCTGCTTCTCTGCAAGAAGGATTTCTCCAGTACAAGGGGGCTTGCTCCATAACAAGCTGGCACCACCCAGAAGTGCTGGGAATTAATATCCTTGCGGCTGCCCTCAGTTTATGGGGGATGAGAGCTGGTATATACTCCAGCCTTACTCCAGTGGGACGATTCTACGGCTTGTTCCACGTGGCTTCTCAGAAGGTCCCCAGTGGGACTGAGCCAAAGTAGCCTATAGCAGTAACCTGCTCATTGATACTCAATATTGGCTTTCCTTCTGTCCCTGTCTGGCTTTCCCCACTGCCTCACTGTACTTCCTGGAATCATCTCTTAAATAAACCACTTGCACCTAAGTCCTCATTTCAGGGTCTGCTTTTTTGGGTCACTTAAAATGAACAGACAAAAAAAGATCATTGATACTTACTTCGCACCCCTCCCCTGCCACCTATACACAAAGCTGCAAAAAAACTCATGACACTTTTGGATTCCTTATTCAAGAAATTTGAGAGTCCCTGGGTGGTACAAATGGTTCACACCATTGGCTGGTAACAGAAAGGTTGGAGGGTTGAGTCCACCTAGAGGTCCCTCAGAAGAAAGGCCTGGCAATCTACTTCTAAAAAATCAGCCATTGAAAACTCTATGGAGCACAGTTCTACTCTGGCATGCATGGGAGCATCATGAGTTGCTGTTGCTGACTGGGGTGTGTGTGTGTGTCTCATTAATTAACTGTGGGTAGTGGGAGACTGGTGATATTATCTGGGCTCAGGTAGGTGGGCAGGGGCTAGGCTAATGACTTACACTCTGGTCTTGATCGTCACTCTTCATGTGCTGGGCAATGAAGCTGACACCATCCAAGGCCTCCTGAACATCCTGCTGGAACCTCCCAGAGGACCTCAGCCGGAAATCCCTGGGGATACCTGCCGAGTTGGAACCAGCTGGAGACTTGGGAGCTGCAGAAGCGGGATTCACAAAATACATGGAGTTCCTGTAGAAGTTGGAGGGGCTGGTAGAGCCCATGGAAGAGGAAGTGGTGGTGGCCTCGGTCTTGGTCAAGCACAACTGACTGGGCTGGGGAGCCTTGGTAGGGCTGCTTTCTGGGCGCTTCATGAAAAGGAAGGTGGGCAGCTTGTGTAGGAAGCAGCGCTGGACCCAGGGTGCCATGGTGTGGGTGCTGGGTGAGCGGTGGTGCACATTGAGTACACAAACACTGGTGACAATGGAGAAGGTGACCAGTACCATGGTGAACATGAGGTATTTGCCAATGAGTGGCACATCCAAGGAGGTGGGTGGCACAATTTTGGAGATGAGCAGCAGAAAGACAGTCAGGGCCAGCAGCACAGAGATGCACAGTGTCATCTTCTCACCACAGTCAGAGGGCAGGTAGAAGACAAGGATAGCCAGTGAGGTGATGAGCACACAGGGGATGATGAGGTTGATGGTATAGAAGAGTGGCTTGCGCTTGATGATAAAGTCGTAAGTCACGTCCACATAGCTAGGGTCCTGTGGGTTCACCGTCCTTCGCCCTGGAAGAGCCACAATGTCCCACTCACCACTAGGAGTAAAGTCATCAACACTGGCTGTGGGCGACTTGAGGACCATGTCGATCTCTGTGTGGTCATAGGTCCAGGAGCGGAATTTGAGGGTGCAGTTCTGCTGGTCGAAGGGGAAGTGCTTCACTTCAATCTTGCAGGCACTCTTGTAGATGGCAGGGGGCAACCAAAAGATGCTGCCATTGGAGCGGACCACCACATTGGTATAGAGGGACACTTCATAGGTTCCATCAGCGCTGGGGGCAGGCAGGACATGGAGGAGAAAGAACATCATGAAACTCATGGATAAGGCTGTGCATGTTCTCAGAACTCCCCAAAGAGCCCTTCTGGATCATTTCCCATTAATCACATTTCTAACCCCTCTTGCCCTCATTTTCTGAAAGGAGCCTGTTTTTCTCGGCAGCTGCATGCGGTGGGGGGAGCCCTACCATGAAGCAATCTGAAGGCCTCACATGAATAGCTCTTTTAAGCCTCATAATAGTCCAATGAAGTAGGTTTTATTATTATCCCCATTTTACATATAGAAAAACCAAGGCTCAGAGAAGTTATGTGACTTCTCCAAGGTTAGGAAACTAGTAAGTGGTACAGCTAGGATTTGAACACAGGTTTGTTTATGTCAAGACCACGTACTCGTAATCATTTAACATTACTGTTGGTATCATTCCAACCCAGGAAGAATCTCTTTAGTTTCTTCCATCTACATAAGATATTTACATATAGGAAGTCAGTGCTGCCAAGACTGACAAAGCAACTGAAGCTTAGAGAGATGGTACGGAGGACAGAAAGAGCACTGGACTGGGGTCAAGAGGTTGGTCCTGGTCCCAGCTGTGTCTGATGAGTCAGACAATAACCTCCCCTCTCTGGGCTGCCATCTGGAACTAAGGGCACTGGCTCTGTTTATCTCTAATTCTTCTTCCAGCCTAATGGCCGGAGTCTGGTGAAGCACAGATGGGGCCAAGGGCTGGACTCAGGACTAGAGGATCCCTAGAGGCTGGGCCTGCTGCTAACATGGGGTCACCATGAGGCCTAGTCCTTCCCAGGCCTTGGCCCACCCCCAGCACTCACTTATTATACAGTACGATGTCAGGCAGCCAGACACGCTTTGCAGGGATCCTCAGGATATTCACGCCTTCGTAGTGGGAGCTGTCCCAGGTTAGGCGGTAATCAGTCCATTCCTGAGCAGACAAGCAAGGCCCTGTCACTTGTAGGTCAGCCACCTCCAAGGGGCAGTCCTGGAGGAAACGTCTCCTAGGCTGGACATCCTGCAGGGCACTTACCTGTTTCAGCCAGACGTTGGTGGTCATGATCTGTTCTCGCTCATTCTGGGGAGGGAAATGGGGCTATCAGTTCACCAGGAAGGAGGAGCCCTCACTCATGGACTTCACTTTACCACACAAAAGGCTCTGAGCACTAGGCTCAGTGACCCGCTGCCAGACCAAACATCTCTTGAATGGGTCAAAAGTATTACACACCCAGTATATCTGAGACAAAGGAGCTCTGGTAGCATAGTGCCTAAGGCACTTCCTTGTTAACCAGAAGGCTGGTGGTTCAAACCCACCAGCCACTACTCAGAAGAAAGGTTGGGCAATCTACTTCTGTAGTGATATCGCCTCAGAAGCCCAAGGAGGGGTCACTATGAGTCAGGTCCGACTCGATGACACATAACAACAACAACAACAACAGCATATCTGAGACAATGCCTCTGATTTTTCTCCAAGCCTGGTCCTCCTTCAGCCTCCCTATCTCAGTGAATGGCAGCCCCCACCCACCTGGTTCTACAAGCCAGAAACCTGGGGATTATCCCTGACATCTTTATCTCTGATCCATCAGTAAGTTCTATAGATTGTATCTCCTATATGTGTCTCAAATTTGTCTGCTTCTCTCCATCTTCACTGCCACCATCAAATGTCACCTGCACTATCATAGTAGCCTCCTAGCTGGTCTACCTGCACTGTCCTGGCCTGCCTTTAGTCTATTCTCTATAGAACAGCCAGGGCAGTCCTACTAAAATCTCAACTCTTCAAACTATGTCACTCTGCTCAAACCCTCCAGTGCCTCCTCATCTTACCCAAAGTAAAAGTCAAAATCCTGCCTATAGCTGCAGGGCCCTACATGACCTGTAGATCATGAACTCTGTAAACTTATGTCTCATTACTCTCCCATTTGCTCATTCTACTTCAGCTACGCTCGTCTCTTTGCTATTTTCAAACACACTCCTTTGCACAAGCTATACCTTCTTCCTGGAAATTCTGTGAAGGAGTTAGATATTTATTCTGTATTTGAGGGAAGTCACAGAAATGACCCAAGCAAGGATGAGATTAAGGGGGAAAATGGCTGGAACTTTGGCAAATTCATTGGTAGCACAGTGCCTAAGGCATCTGACTGATAACCGGAAGGTTGATGGTTCAAACTCACCAGCCACTCCATGTAAGAAAGACAGGGCAATCTACTTTCGTAAAGATTTACCACCTTGGAAACCCAATGGGGGTCACTATAAGTCAGAATTGACTCAATGGCAGTTGGTTTTTGTTTTTGTTTTGTTTTGGTGTACAGGGAGCTCTGGTGGCATAGTGCCTAAGACATTTGACTGCTAACCAGAAGGCTGGTGGTTCAAACCCACCAGCCACTCCTTAGAGGTTAGATTGAACAATCTACTTCTATAGAGATACTGCCTTGGAAACTCAAGGAGGAGGAGTTATGAGTCAGATCTGACTCAATGGCCGTGAGTTTTTTTTTTTAGGGGGACAGATGTGGGGAGGAGTCAGTGCAGAATGGATGTAGAGACACCAATCAGGGGAGGCTTGTAGTGGCCCAAGGAACTCTGGTAGTGTAGTGGTTAAGGCATTAACCAAAAGTCGATGGTTCAAACCTACCAGCCATTCCATGGAGGAAAGATGGGGCAGTCTGCTTCCATAAAGATTTATAGCCTTGGAAACCCAATGAAGTTACTATGAGTTGGAATTGACTTGATGGCAGTAAGTTGTTGTTGTTGTTTTAAGTGGTCCAGGTGAGAGATGGATGATGGTGGCTTAGATGCTTGTGGTAGGATTCATATATGCATTCAGAAAATATTTATCAAGTATCTGGCATATCTCAGATACACTTCTAGGTACCCTCTGCCTTCAAGGAAATTACATTTTAGTGGGAGGAGGCAGAAAATACACACTCTACATAGTGGGTGGTGTCAGGTGGTGATAAGTGCTATGAAGAAAAACAAAGCAGGATAAGAGACACAGGAAGACAGAGGTGTTATTTTATGTGGAAAGGTCAAGGAAGATCTCTGATAAATTGACATTTCTGTCTGTCTATTGTTTCAGGAGGAGCTCTGGTAGCATAGTGGCTAAAGCACTTGACTGCTAACCAGAAGGCTGGCGGTTCAAACCCACCAGCCACTCCTCGGAAGGAAGGTTGGGCAATCCTACTTCCGTAGTGATACTGCCTCGGAAACCCAAGGAGGGGTTGCTATGAGTCGGGGCCGACTCGACGGCACATAACAACAACAACAACATTGTTTCAGGAGGGAGGGTTATGGCCACGAGTCTATGGAAACACACTTATTTTACCTTCAGTTTTGAAGGGTATTTTGCTGGTTGTAGAATCCTAGGTTTTCAAGCTTTTTCTCATAGCACTTTTAAAGTGTCATTTCATTTTCTGGGTTCCATTTTCAACTGTCAGTCTAATTGTTGATTCTTTGAAGATAATCTTTTTTTTTCTTCCCGCCCCCCTCCACCTGATTTTAAGATCTCCTCTTTGCCTTTGGTTTAGGAGTTTAAGTATGATGAATCTGGGTGCAATTTTCTTTGAATAGATCCCTCATGGAGTTCATAGAGCCTCTTGAATCTGTAGCTTAATGACTTTGGTGCCTTTTGGAAAATTCTCAGCCAGTATCACTTCAAATAGGAGGCTCTGGTGGCACAGTGCCTAAGGCATTTGACTGCTAATCAGAAGACTGGCAGTTAAAAACCATCAGACTCTCCTCAGAAGGAAGATGGGGCAATCTACTTCTGTAAAGATACTGCCTCAGAAATCAAAGGAGGGGTCGCTATAAGATGGCAGTGAGTTTGGTTTCTGGTTTTTGGTATTACCTCAAATACTCCTTCTGTCTTATTCTTTGTCTTCTTTTCTGGGAACTCCAATGATAGGTTTCATTTTGCCCCAAGTTATCTTCCTTTCTGTATTTTCCATCTTTTTTTCTCACCAGTTTCTGTAGATTTTTCTATTGACATCTCTTCCAGTTTACTAATCCTCTCTTCTGCTGTGTCCAATCTGCTATGAAACCCATCCAATGAGTTTTTAACTAATGTTTTTGTTTTAAGTGCTAACATTTACTTTTGATTCTTATTTACAGTTACCAGTTTTCTGGAGAAATTCTCCATCATAATAATTTTCTTGAGCATATCAGTATCAAAACTAAAAACCAAACCCACTGACATCAAGTTGATTCTGATTCATAGCAACCCCCATCACGTTTCCAGGGCTGTAAATCTTTATAGAAGTAGATTGCCTCATCTTCCTCCTGTGAAGCAGCTGGTGGGTTCAAACCACTTACCTTTTGGTTGACACCCCAATTCCTTAACCACCAGTGCCACCAGAGCGCCTTACTTTAAAATAATATTACTTTACCTGAAACTATTGCCCTGAGATGATCTTTAAGTCTTAAACCAAAAATATCCTCTGAATTCTTCTTAAAACTGAACAACAATTTAGCTTAACTAGTAAAAAAGTCTGCCTTGAGTCTGCTCTTTTAAGATCTATATGGGATCAAATTGATAAAAGCAACTTGAAAGATTAGATAGGAATCTTAGGGGGCAGTGTGTTTGTGTTAATAAGGGAGGAATAACTCAGAAAAGGGGGGTGAGAATGGCTGTACAACCTGAAGAATGTAATCAATATCACTAAATTTTACATGTTAAAACTGTTGAATTGGTGTATATTTTGCTGTGTATATTCTGAACAATGACAAAATAAGTAACATTTAAAGAAAAAATACTTTAAAGCCCACATATCATGGTAACTTCACTATCTTGATCATCTGTGGATCGTTTCTATTATCTGCTTTTTTCGCTTGGCCTTTTCTTACTTTGTGTTGTCTTATAACATGCTTAGTGAATTTTTGTTTGATTTTATTGGCAACCAGAGAGTATTTAATTTTGCTTTATGACATACAGTTAGAGTAGGAAGATCACATTAATCCAGAGAGAGACTAAACTGGTTCAAAGTATATTTTGGGTTTTTTTTTCCATTTTAAAATATATATTTTTTTATTATATATGTATTTTTTTTAAATTGTGATTTGGCTAAAAGTTTACAGAGCAAATTCACTTTCCATACAGCAGTTCACACACACACACACGTTGTCTCATGAGATTGGCTATAATTTACCCCAATGCAACAGCTCCCCTCCCACTTCCTCCCAATAGTTACCTCTTCCCTGTGTCCATTCCCCCACGCATTCCATATTTCAGTTTTTATCAGAGCTGGTCTACTTTGCATTCATTTTTGCCCCTAGCATGGCCCTTCCAAGGTCCCCAGCAAAGCTCCATCTCCTTAGTGGGGCCCAAACTCCCAACATTTGTCATCTCTGTTCTGTGTGAGTGCAAAAGTTCAGTTAGACTTCTCAGCCTCTTAGCCATCACCTTGTGCTCAGCTTCTTATTCTCTGTGCCCTATGCTAGGTGCCATCAAGTTGCTTCAACTCATAGCAACCCTACGGATAACAGAAGCAAACACTGCCCTGTCCTGATGCATCCTCACAATAGTAGGTATGCTTGACCCACTGTTGCAGCCATTGTGTCAGTCCATCTCATTGAGGGTGTTCCTCTTTTTCACTGACCTTCTATTTCACCAAGTATGAGGTCTTTCCCCAGGAATTGGTCCCTCCTGATAACATGTACAAAATAAGCGAGACCTGTCTGCTAGTTTGTTGCACTGTCGTATCTTGTGTGGTATTGTGATGCTGGAAGCTGTGCCACCAGTATTTCAAATACCATCAGGGTCACCTGGTGGATAGGTTTCAGCAAAGCTAAATAAGACTAGGAAGAAGGACCTGGCCATTTACTTCCAAAAAGAAAATAAAGCCAATGAAAACTTTATAGATAACAAGAGAACATCATCTGATGTAGTGCCCTATACCATTTACTTATCAAGCGAGGAGAAAGGCAACAGACTGTCAGGATCACCTCATTATGTGTCCTTGCCCTTCAGGATCCTGACTTCTTAAATCTTGGGAGCTCTTCAATACCTTCAAACAAACTTTTTTAAAAAACGCTTTTGTTCAGCTTTTAAAACTGTTCTTGTGAAAAAGTTAATCTGCAACAAGTTACTCTGCCATCACTGAAAGTTAAAAACTCTCGGTTGTCTTTAAATCTTTTTATTAATTGAGGTATAATTTACATACAATCAGATATATAGATCTTAAGTGCACAGTTTGATGACTTTTAACAAATGTGTGATCCATGTAATCTACCTCCATTTCACGATGTAGAACATTTCTATCACCCAGAAAATTCCCTTACTCCTCACTCTCCTTCACTCCCCCAGCAGCTGCTGAGTATGCCTGAGGACATCTGTGTAGGGCCCTGGACCCTTTAAAGACCTGCTTCTAAAGGCCTGCTTGTCTTACTCAGCACAAAATCTTTGCCTGCTCCCCAGAAACTTTAAACTGGTTGTGCCCACAGACCTCTTTTCCTCAAAACAAACAAGCCCCCTCAAAAAACAGAAGAAAACGGAAACCACCCACAACCTAATATGTGCTCCATACATAAGCTTTCTGGAACATATCAGCCCACAGTGGTACTCACAGGCATGGGGGCTAGAAGCTGTGTACCCTCCTGCTTCATTGGCTCCTGTCACCCCACAGCCCCACACAGCTGATCTGGCAGGAGAAGCCTGAGCCTGGAAGCATGGCCAGACCTGCTTGCCCATTAACTCTCACCAGGGTGGCAGCTGCAGGGTAGCAGCTGCGCTCAGCTATATTAAGCAAACTTCCCTTGGTTGGGTATATAACATCCAGACACCAGCCTGAGTGAGGCCTGGCCGGAGGCCCTTATTCCTTCCAGTCTGGCTGTAGAGTGGAGAAGGACAAAGAAAATAAAGCTCTTTGCTCTGCCCCTACTCTTGCACTGTGTTTCTGGGAGCCTCAGGGGAGGGAACCAACATTAATATGGCCAAAGCTTTCTTATTTATTTTTTAAAATTTTTATTGTGATTTGGGTGAGAGTTTACAGAGCAAATTCATTTTCCATATAGCAGTTCATACACACTTTGTTTCATGACATTGACTGCAGTCCTCACAATGTAACAGCTCTCTTCTCACTTCCTCCCTGTAGTACTTTTTCCCTGTATCCTTCTTTCCTATGCACTCCTGCCCCCTGAGCTATCTCCCTGTGCGAATACTACCTTTCTGTTTTCCCAAGACTTATCATTCTACCTAGTGTGAATGCTCAGCCTATATGCCTGTCTGGCCAAAGCCTTTTTGGGTTTGAGGGGCTGGGTTTGTGGGAGCCAATTGTGCTATTGGAAGAGGCTCAGCGTTAAGAAGGTAGCCATCTAGAGAAAGACACAGATAGGTACACAAGAGGCACGGACTACAAAGAGAAACGCTTTTACACATACAGCACTGCATTGTCCGTGATAACAAACATTAATTTACAGGTAAGTAGATGGGTAGACAAGCTAAATGATCAGGAAAGTCTAGGCAAAAGGGAATATACCCATGATCATACATAAGGTTGGTAGACAATATTTCTACATGTGGTGGTTATGCTTGTGTGTCAGCTTGGCTGGACCTGGTTGAGTGGCTGGGCAGCTGGTGGTAGTTATTCCCCATGATGAGACTGGCAATCAACTCCATGTTGGGATCTACCACAAGCAGCTGAGTAGCTGCCTTAGGGAATGTAGTCTGCCTCCTATACATAAGCAGCAGCTTTGGGAATGGTCTCTAGCCTATGACACGCTTGGACCCTGCATGTAGCCTTGTCGTTGTTCAGCAGCCTGCCATGCTCAGCCGACCTGGGGACTTACAATGGACTTAAATTAATGGCCTTCCATGTGGTTTGGTAACATCAGGACTATGCCTTTTTGTCGACCTTGGGCTCGTTAGCCTTAGCAGCCAGTAGCTGCCTGAGTAAAGAGATGCCTCTAGCTTCAGTGGGCTGGAAGCAAGAGGCAAAGCTGAAGCCCAAGGTCAAGGAGCTTTTACACAGCCCCTAGAGCCTGGCACTTTGAACTTGGACTTAAAGCCTCCAAACTGTAAGAGAATAAACTTCTGTTTGTTAAGGCCATCCCATTTGTGGTATATTCTTGTCAGAGCAGTACTAGGTAACCAGAACATTACGTAAGTATTTGTATATGCTGTAAGAATGTCCAAATATATAATAGAGCTAACAAGGGGGAAAGTTATGATAACTTCTAGGCCACAGTCAAGCACCCTGAGGGAGCGAGTAGTTCGACCTGTGTGCTTGGGACCATGGTTGCAGGGACATCAAGCTCAACTGGCATAACATACTACATAAAAACATTGTTCTATATCTTACTTTGGTAGCGTAGTACCTAAGGCACTTGACTGCTAACAGAAGGCTGGTGGTTCAAACCCACCAGCCACTCCTCGGAAGGAAGATGGGGCAATCTACTTCCGTAGTGATACTGCCTCGGAAACCCAAGGAGGGGTCACTATGAGTCGGGTCTGACTCCACAGCACATAACAACAACAACAACAACAACATATCCTATTTTGGTCAGTAGTAATCTTAAAAGAAGGAGCTCTGGTAGCATAGTGTCTAAGGCACTTGACTGCTAACCAGAAGGCTGGCAGTTCAAACCCACCAGCCACTCCTCGGAAGGAAGGTGGGCAATCTACTTCCGTAATGATACTGCCTTGGCAACCCAAGGAGGGGTCACTATGAGTTGGGTCTGACTCGATGGCACATAACAACAACAACAACAATCTTAAAAGATTGCAAGTGGCCATCTAGATGCAACAATGGATCTCTCCTCATCTAGAGCAAAGAATAATGAATGAACAAAGATGTATGGAAACAATTAGTCCAAAGGACTAACAGACCACGTGATTATTAGCCTATATGACCATGAGACCAGAAGCACTAGATGGTGCCCAGCTACCGCTGTCAACCACTCAGAAAGGGATCAGTGCAGGAGATCCTGGATAGAGTGGGAGAACAATACAGAATGAAACTCAAAATCATAAAAAAGACCAGGTTTACTGTCTGATAGAGCCTTGTGAGACTCCCGAGACTATGATGCCTAGTTATCCCTCATGTCTGGAACTGAACTCACTCCTGTGGCTTCCAGCCAAACAACAGACAGGCATATGGGATGACCATTCACATCAAGTAGATGCATTCCTTTGAGTGAATAATTGTGGGAGAACAGAAGGGCATTATTTGCGTAGGGAGATAGCTCGAGGGTAGGAATACATAGGAAAGAGGAAGAACACAGGGAAGAGGTAACTATGGGAGGAACTGGAAAGAGAGCTGTTACACTGCGGGGAATTGTAGTCAATGTCATGAAACAAAATGTGTATGAACTGCTCTATGGAAAATGAATTAGTTCTGTAAACTTTCACCCAAATCACAATAGAAAGTTAAAAAGAAGAAGAAGGTAGCCACTTGACCAGGAGGAAGAATTTAGCCTCCTTGGTTATCTCCTTCCTCACAGCTGGATACAACACCCTGCACTCTCTTCAAGTGAATGCTCCTCAGAGCTAGTTTCAGGGGCAGGGTTCTAACCCTGTGGGTGAGAGTGTGAGAAGAGCCACACCAGGGAAGGTTTACAATGAGCCATGTTTCTCTAGAATATTTACAACTCAGAGACAGCAGAGAAGGGGAATTCCCTGTCACTTCAGCCTTCCTCCTGTTCCCCACCCCACCACACATTCACACATTAAGACCCAGCCATCTTGGCTGTGAATTCTGTAATCTACCTCTCCATTCCAAACCCCCAGTGACTACTCTACTTTGTCCACACCCTCACTCACCCTGGCTGGACCAGTGTAGCAGCTGCCCCTGGTTTTGACCCTGCACCTGAGCCTCCGCACTCATCCATTCCTCCAACTTGGTTCCTATTTTTCCCAAGTATGGGACAAGTGAGGTCATCTACTGAGCAAGCTGGGGAAGGTAATGGGATGAGGTTTCAAAGACAAGGAGGGGCACCTATGGCTATGTTGGAAGCCTAGCTGAGGCAGAGTCTGTGCCAGGACCACTGGATGCCTACCAATGGTCATCTCCTTCATCTTTGTTAACAAAACCCCAACTTAATTGTTGTTGTTATGTGCCGTTGAGTCGGCCCGACTCATAGCGACCCCTCCTTGGGTTTCCGAGGCAGTATCACTACGGAAGTAGGATTGCCCAACCTTCCTTCCAAGGAGTGGCTGGTGGGTTTGAACCGCCAGCCTTCTGGTTAGCAGTCAAGTGCTTTAGCCACTATGCTACCAGAGCTCCTAGACACTGAATATTCCTGGACCTTTCTCCAGCCCCCTTGCCATGTATTGATAAGTCTAAGTCAACCATGGCAATACCATTTCTTTGGCCAATGACTGTCAAAGTCTTACATATGAGCTGCAACCCAGGCCAATGAGATACAAGGGGTTGTCTAGAGGGTAGGTTCTCTAGAAAAGTCTTCCTCATGTTTAAAAAGGGACCAAAAAGGGGATTTGCTATTTCTTGCCACAGACATTGTCATGTGAGAACTTTATACTTGGAATTGTGGCTGAGGTCTTATGACATGAGGTAAAAGCAAAAGAATCACAGAGTACTGACATCATTGAGTCATTGAACTAACCATCCCTGAGACTATCCACTTGCTATTTCATTATGTGACATAATAAATGACTTTATTGCTTTAGCTACTCTTCATTGAGCATTCTGTTACTTACAGCCAAAGCATTTTAATTGATACTGAGATCATGGATTCATGGATTCATAGGTGGCTGTAAACTGTGAAGCTAGAGCAGACAAAGTAGGAGGGTGAATCCAGGCAAAGAGAATAGCACGTGTAGGGTCACGGATGGCATTTGTAGAATAAAAAAAAAATCTTAACTTAGAGGGAGAGTTAAGGCCCTCAAAGTTCAGGCAAACTCCTTAATTTTTAAATATGGAAAAATATGAAAGGAACAATTTAGAACTTTCCCAGGAATCTGGGGCAATGCCAAAACTAAACCCCCAAGTCACTCAACTCCCAACACTGACCACTGCATGGCCACTCCTTTCCCTGAGACTCTGCTGGGGTACTAAAAACCCACCCTATCTCTCCTCTTAAGTAGGCCTCAAATCCAGGCTGCCCCTGCACCTACCACACTGATGAGCTGGGCCAGGGAGAGCTGTAGGTGGATGGAGATAAGTTGGGAGTTGCTGGTGGCTGGACGGATCAGGTTGTTATAGCGAGTTTTGTTCAGAAGGTCATCCATGAGCTTCTCCTCGGCGTTGGCCACACGGCAGTCCCCTGGGAAAATGCATAGTCAGACTTTCTGGGTCCTTGTCTAAATGACCCTCACTTTGGCTGATGGCTGTAAAGGGAAGGGCTAAGAGGGTCCGGGCTAGGACCACAGTTGCCCTCAGGGCTGACTGAAGCAGTTATGATGCTGGCAGGCCTGCCTCTATTTAGGGATCATTTTTGTTATCTAGTGTTGCTATAACAGAAATACCACAGATGATGCCTTTAACAAACAGGAATTTATTCTTTTACAGTTTAGGAGGCCAAAAGTTCAAATTCAGAGTGCCAGCTCTAGGGGCTGCGTGAAGGCCCCTCAACTTTGCTTCAGCTCCGCTTCTTGTTCCAGACCCACCAGAGCTAGAGACTAAGTCTTGAAGCACCCTCTTTCTCCTGCCAGGATTGCCTTTACCAGCCAGCCATCAAATATCTGAGTGTTTATCTTGTGCCAGGAACTATGTTATATACAGGGGGCAGTAGCAAGAAAAGGCAGAAATGGTTGCTTCCCTCAGGGGGCTTGCAGCAGAGGTAGAGATTAACCAAACAGGGGCTTTATTTGCAGAGTTGGATGGACAGTGATGCCTTCACTAACAAGAGTAGTGGGTGGGGAGATGAGGAGAATAATACCCTCAGTTCAGACTTGGACCTGTAGAGTATAAGGTGTCTTCTTGTTGTTGTTAGCTGCCATCAAGTTGGCCCCAGACTCAGGGCAACTCCATACACAATTGGATTAAAAGCTGCCCAGTCCTACACCATCCCCATGATTGGTCATGGTTTGGATAATGTTCTATTGTGATCCATAAGATGTCCATTGACTGATTTTCAGAATTAAATTGCCAGGTCTTTGCTCTGAGTCTGTCTTAGTCTAGAAACTCTGCTGAAACCTGTTTAGCATAATAGCAACATGCAGGCCTCCACTGACAGAAAGTGGTGGCTGTATGAGATGCATTGGCCAGGAATCAAATTGGGGTCTCTCACGTGGAAGTCAAGAATTCTACCACTGAACCATCAATGCCCCATAAGGTGCCTTAGAGACACCAGAGGGAGGGGTCCAGCTGACAGTTGGCCTCTGCTCTGGAATCTAAAGGAGCTGTCTCAGCTCAGAGCCATATTCAAGGCCCAAGTTCAAATGCAGCCTCCTTCAAACAGCCTGACCCAGTGTCTTATGCTGGATTCTTTGGAGAATCAAAACCAGTGAGTCTTATTATATGCATATATATGCTGCCCAGTCTTACACCATCATCATGAAATATAAATAGATAGATGCAGATATATAGATATGAAGAAAGAGAGAGAGGTGTATTTATCTCAAGGAAGTAGCTCACGTGGTTATAGAGGCTGGTAAGTCTTAAGTCTGTGGGTCAGATGTCAAGCTGGTGGCTTCTCCTGACTCATGTAGCTATAGGGGCTGACAGACTCAAGACTGACAGTTCAGATGGCAAGATGTGGGCTCACAGGCTGCAGAGGCTGATAAATCCAAGATCAACAGGGAATATGGCCGGCTACTGGCTGAAGTCCAAAGAACCGGAGGTCAGATGATGATGATCCAGATGTAGGATCAAGATAAAAAAGCCAGAGAGCTTTGCTAGAATGTCCATATATATTGGAAGCAGTTTACACCCTTGAGAAAACTCCCTCTTAACTGATTGGCTGCTCATAGCGGTTCTCATCATGGAGGTGATTACATTATATCAGATCTCATCATGGAGATGACTACATCATAATTGCCAAACCACTGAGAACTATGGCCCAGCCAAGTTGACACAAAACTTTAACCATCACATCTAGCCTTCAGCCTACCTGGGCCCATAGCCCCAGATCTACCCCACTCTGCACCCCCAATCCCTTGCCAAGTGGTATCTGGGTCTTTGTCTCATCTTCCTCACAAGTCTGGGAGTGAAAGTGAAGCTCAATCTTGTTTATTCTGATGTCTTCAAGGAGAATATGTCAGGTATGGATGGGGGCTCATTTTAGAAAGAGGAAGACCCAGAGAAGGGCAAAGACACCTGAGCAGAGAACCAAGAGCAGGAAAAGAAATGGGAGTGGGCAGAGGAAATAGCATTGAGGCAAGAAGACAGGGGTGAAAAGGTTAAAAAAATAAGGTGGGTGTGGAGGATGCTGGAGAGGGGCTGCTTGGCTCATTGGATTTACAACTCTGATTTCATTCTCCCCTGAAGGGCTACTTCTATGAGTCTCACTGCACCACACCCTCTTTGAGTGGGACCAGAGGGTCTAGAACATGGGTTGACCTGATTGAGCAGGTCTACAGTGGACTCTTTGGTGGGTGCTGGGCTGGACACATGACCAAAGGAGCAGCCACTACCCTGCCTGCTCTGTGCATTTTCCAACTCACTGCCTATCTGGAGCAGATGCAATATTTAGTGCCTTGTGAAAGATGCTCCCAGCATCTGCTGCCTGCTGTCTCTCCCCTAGACTGCCCTGGGCTATAGGAGGGGGTCCTGTGGTTGGTTGGCCTAGATTCTGAGCCCTGCCTCTCACACTCTGAACCTATGGTCCACAGAGACTTAACTGGTCCCCACCCACACCCCCTGCCACAGACCAGCTGCTTAAATACGCTGGAAGCCAGTCTATAGCCCCAGGCTGCAGCTGGGCCCCTTCCACAGACCTTCTTTATTGTATATATTTGTGCCAACTTCTCATTTCACAGAGCAGGGTGTGGCTTGCCCAAACCCTCCTGGCATGTTTGAAGCCCCTCTGGGGTCAAAACATGCACCTCCTGTCCTCAGCCCTGAAGTGCTGGGGGAGACTGGATTCCACATCTCTATAGCTCAGGAGGCCAGCTCACCTGGGTTACTGGGAGGCCAGGGCAGCTTTGCAGGCTGTTGGGCTGGGATTCTGGCTCTGAGCCCATCTGGGATGCCTATGTGCTCATCTTTGGCCCTGCCTTGACTCTCAGGCATTCATCTGGCTCTGAGGGAACTTCTCCCATCCTGAATACCAGCTACAGGCTCCAGAGTTAGAAGGTCCCAGAACCTTAGACCATTTAACCCAACTCTCTTTTTCTTAGCTGAGAAATATAAGACCAAAGAGGGGAAGATATCTACTCAAGGATACCCAGTAAGTCAGCAGCAGAGCCAGGTTTAGGAGGCACTGCCTCTTTTAGACACAGGCCTGGTATAGACCCTTCATGTCCTCCATACTTCCCTTGCAAAGAGACTGCCTCTACAGAAGCCATAATTGGTATGTGCTAGAGCCAGGCTTGTGTTCATGCCTGTGCCTGTGTTTGTCCATATGTGTGCCAAGGAGTGGGGGTGGGGGAGACATTAGAGCTGGTACAGGCTGGAACACAGCCCTACCACCTGAAGAGGGGGGGATATCCCAGAACAAGCGCATCATGTTGAGGCTTTCCAGCCTGCTGCTTTATGCCTGTGAGGTCTGCTGGGTTCAAGGTACAAGGGACAAGCCTTTTCCTCCCAGCTGACAGGGGTGGCCCAGAACAGATGGAGGCTTCTGGGGCGTGGCTAGGGGTCACATTCCAGCCCAAGAGCTGACACAGTTAAACCAAGAGGCTACCACTAGAGGTCAGTCATGACCCAAATATTCTGATGAGGAGTGGCCCCAACCAGCCTCTGGCCAGGGCCTCACTTTCCTGGGAAGAAAGGCTTCTCTGGAAAACTGCTCCCCAGCAGAAAGAGGTTACAATCCCAGAGGAAGCCATAGCTGAAACACTAAACCGTGTGAGTGTGTACAGTTTATAAAAGCAAATAGGATCTTAAAATCTATATTGAAAAAATGGAGATTCCCTGTTGTGGGAACACATACTACAGAAAGTAATGGCCAACAGAATCTTCTTGGTAAATGGGCATCTAAAAGGCAGAGTGATTTTCACTTGGGGGTGTGTGTTCTTAACTGAGGAAAGGATTACAAGATGTGCATTTACTAAAAGGCAGCTGTGGATTCAAAAAACAAACGATGAGGTTTTACCTTTTACAAGAGGTTGCCACATTTTATCAGTGCTTCTCCAACTGTGTGTAAGAATCACTCAGATGCTTACATAAAATCAGATACCCAAGCCTACTTCCAGAGATTCTGACCCAGTGGGCCTAGGATGGTGCCCAGGAATCTGTTCTGAGTGATTCTGGTACAGGCTGCCCCAGGACCACACCTAAGAAACACTGCATCAGGCTCAAACAAAATATGTGTTCCTAAGTGTGTAGGCCAAGCATAACATCCCCATGAAATAGATGGGAAAACTGTGGTCCAGAGAGGAGAAAGGAATGAGACAGGATCATTCAGCAAGTGGTGGCAGAGCCGGGACACAAATTTGTGAGTGGACACCATCTTTGGTGAGATCTCCACATCCCTATAGGAACCTTGTGTGCCTCCTCCACCCCTCCTACTTCAACACTCCTTGTCTCTGTCCATGGAAGATAAGTCCCGCTTCTCAAGGTGAAGTAGGTATCAGAGGACAAGCTTGGGCAAGAGATAGGAGTTGGAAGGATCCCTAGACCTCAGATGGGGAAACAGGCCCAGAGAAGGCAGTCCTCATCATACCTGGACTCTGCCTGGAGAAGGGCTGAACGGATCTTCCTCTCTGGTGTCAGAGACTGAAAGTTCCTGAGTGGCACACCAGCTACCTAAAGTGTGTTTCCTGGAAGATCTGCCCCCCAAATTGTAAGACATTACAGAGATGGCGATTTGGGCAAGTCCCTTGCCCTCTGGGTAAGTTTCCACACTTCTGCAATAGCGGTGTTGGAGAAAATCTCTAAGACTGAGGAGAAAGGTTGCTCCCTGATGTCTACGCGGGCGGGTTGCGGACTGCGCTGTGATCTCACTCACTCTTCAGGTAAAGCGGCCTCCCAAGCAAGGAAGATGCCTCGGCCCTGTCCGCATAACCCCTTCGCGCTGGAGGTGAGTGGAGCTGCCTGCAAAGCCAGAGAGCCACCTAACCCAGCTGCCCAGGCTAAAGGCACTCGCCGGAGCGTGGCCCTTGCCGCGCAGGAGCGCAGAGAGGAGAGGCGGCCCCCACCCCAAACCTCGCAGACCCACCCACTCTGGCCCGTCCCCTCTGCTGTGGCTACAGGGTTCAGCTACACCCACGCTTCTACCCAGCCTGGACAACCTCGGGTCACTCCCCCGCGCGCAGGTAACCCTCTCTTCCTTCCACCTGTGGCCAGTTCAGCCACGCTCAGCCCGACCCAGACGCCCCTCCCTCCTTCTCCGAAAAGAACTCACCGCGCCCATAAAGGGCAATCAGGGAGAAAAGAACCAGGGCGTGCGCACCCATAGCGAGAGGGAGCTGGGTTGGCAGCCGCAGCGAGCTCAGCTGTCGGAGCACCACGGCTCTGGCGAGTAGCAAGCTGACCAATGAACGTCGGTCTGGGCTTTCGAGGTCTCAAAGCAGGGTGTGACCGGCACTAGGACCCCGCGGAGAGCCCGCCTAGCCCCGCGAAGGCAACATCTGTGAACCCCACCCACTCGGGGGTAGAGTCCCAGGCTGGCACGACCTCTGGGCGGGGTCGGCTCCCTGGTGTCGGGGCTGGCCCCTCCCCTTGTGGACCCTTAACTTTTTCTCTGAGGGTAGTCGCCTGGCGGCTACGCTTGGTACTTCCCAGCCGTCTCGGGCTTCCTAACATTCCTGGAAGGTAGGCCACAGGACAGCGCCTGCACCCCTTGTACAGTCGGGAAAACTGAGGCTCTGAGGAAGGCACACTATTGCGTAGGGTCCTTGTACTGTTTGGGGGAAGTATTATATTCCAGCTGGGAAGGGCTGGGCTTTGCCTGCTGACACTTAGAACTCGGGACTCAGAAAATAAATAATAATCTCATGTTCATACCCAGAGGGTTTGCTGAAAGAAAGGGGTCCTTTGGGGCGGAAGCCTGAGTGAGAGAGCGCCACCGTCTGCAGACCTTGGGGGGAGGGTGCTTAGGAAAATCGTGTGATGTTTGGGAGGGTGAAGTAGCTCAGGTGTCTGTAGGAGGGAAGGGAGCAGAATTAAAGGGAGAGGATGGCGCCAGAGTGCGCTGCTTGTGTCTTCTGCCTTGAGCCCTACAACTTGGGCTGACCAGAAGCAGTTTGAGCGACTCAAAGAAACGGGCGGGCATCTCAACTCTAGCCAGCGGGTCTTTGTTAAGATTGAAATCAGCCCCATCGCCTTGAAGGATGGTGGACCTCACAGGACAGGCGTCAGCACAAAGGCAGCGCCACCTCAGAACTTAACCGAAATCGTTCCTCAATTCCAAAATCTGATGGGATTCCTGTGATCTCACGGGACCGACTTTCCAGCACCCCACTCCCACCCCTGACAGGGCTGGTACAGGCCAGTGTAACCACTGGAGAAAGAAGGTGAAAGGGCAGAGTCTGGGGGAGTGATCTCCTTCAAAAGGCAGCTTTGCCACCTTCTCTTCAGGCCTCTCAATCTTGTTTTCATATTGCTTCTTCCAATGTCTTTTTGCTATAATCTGACATATTAACATGTTACCTCTGGAAAAGAGGTTGAAATGGAGCTGATTTCCTTTTGGGATGGTTTGGACAATTTTGGTTTGAGGGCATCCTCTCCGCTCCAAATTGCAGTGATACTAGGTGAAATATATAAAGTAAATAAAAACATAGCTAGCATGCTATGACATGGCTGAACCTTGAGTGATATAAGTCAGACACAACAGAACAAGAATTGTATGTAGAATCCCATTTATTTGAAATATCCAGAATAGGCAAGTGTATCAAACCAAAGTTTATTAGTGGTAGGAGCTCTCGTGGTGTAGTGCCTAAGGCATTTGACTGCTAACCAGAAGGCTGGCGGTTCAAACCCACCAGGCATTCCTCGGAAGGAAGGGTGGGCAGTCTACTTCCGTAGAGATACTCTTGGAAGCCCAAGGGGTCGCTGTGAGTCGGCTCTGACTCAACGGCAGTGGGTTTGGTTTGGTTTTGGTTTAGGGTAAGAAGGGGAGGAAAGGGAAAGGGATTGCTTAAGGGATACTGAGCTTCTGTTAAGGGTGATGAAAAATGCTGGAAACAGTGGCGATAGTTTCACAACATAGTGAACTTAATTAATATGACTAAATTGTACACATAAAAATATTGAAATGGTAAATGTTTTGTTATTTATATATTTACTACAAGAAAGCCAAAATGTAACCAAAAAGAAAAGGAAAAAAAAAAAAAAAAATGGAGAGACATAACCAGGCTGAAAAATAAACCATAAACCAAAACCAGAAAAACACAAATTGGTCAGGGGACTGAAGCCTGGGGACTAATGGGCTCTGAAGGCAGTAGCAGGAACATGTGATAAAGAGGGACTGAAAGACTCTTGAGGACCCCATGGCACAATGGTTAAGAGATCTGCTAACGGTAAGGTTAGTGTTTCAAAGCCACCCAGTGGCTCCTTGGGAGAAACATGGTGGCAGTTTGCTCTCATAAAGATTACAGCCTAGAAACCCCTATGGGACAGTTCTACACTGTCACATGGGGTTGCTATGAGTTGAAAATAGACTTGTTGGCAAGTGACAACAGCAAAAGTCTGGAGGGCTTGTGTGTAACCCAATTCTTGAATGGATGCTTAGGGGAGGGGAAGCCTGCTGCTGATTTTTTTGTGGCCTTAACTTCATAGGATGCATATTATCCCCAGTATACCCCAGGATGACCCACTGCCGTTGAAATGTCACAAAGGCTGGCCACAACTACAAAACTGCAAGACTGTTGAGGTAAGCAAAAGTGGGAAGGTAGGAAAAGAAAGAGGGAGGGGAGAACATAACACCCACTCAAAATAACCTGCTTATGCCAGAAAGGACAGGAAATGCTCAAGGAATAATGGAGAATGTTGAAAGGACATGGCAGCCCCTTTGAAGGGGCTCCACTGACCAAATCTGGACAATTTGAATATTAAAATAACTAATGATTGTTGTTGTTGTTAGGTGCCAGAATGAAAAGCTTCCTGGTCCTGTGCTTCCCTCTCAGTCATTGCTATGATTGAGCCCTTTGCTATGACTACTGTGTCAGGCCATCTTTTGAGAGTCTTCCTCTTTTTCACCAACTCTTTCCCTTACCGAGCATCATGTCCTTCCCCAGGGTCTGATGGTTCCTGATAACATGTCCAAAGTGTGTGAGACAAAGTCTTGCCATCCTTGCTTTTAGGAAACATTCTGGACCTCTTCCAAAACAGATTTCTTCATTCTTCTGGCAGTCCATGGTATGTTCAATATTCTTTGCCAACACCATAATTCAAAGACATCAATTCCTCTTGTTATGTACCGTGGAGTCAGACCCGACTCATAGCAACCCCACCATGGGTTTCTGAGGCAGTATCACTACGGAAGTAGATTGCCCAACCTTCCTTCCGAGGAGTGACTGGCGGTTTCCTTATTCATTGTCTAGCTTTCACATGCATATGGGGCAATATTTTATTAGTTCATTATTGTAAAAAGTCAAGGAAAGGTTTATATGTGGAAGGAAACTTTCTTTGTTGGTTACCAGAGGTGGGTAGGAGCTCTGGTAGCATAGTGCCTAAGGCACTTGACTGCTCACCAGAAGGCTGGTGGTTCAAACCCATCAGCCACTCCTCGGAAGGAAGGTTGGGCAATCCTACTTCCGTAGTGATACTGCCTCGGAAACCCAAGGAGGGGTCGCTATGAGTCGGGGCCGACTCGACAGCAAACAACAGCAACAACAACAACAACGGGTGGGAGAGAAGGGGAGGGAACACTGCAAAATTAAAAAAATAAAAATAAAAAATGTAAATAAAAATATAAAAGTTAAAAAAAAAAAAACGAAAATACTATGGCTTGAGTCAGGTGCATCTTATTTCTCAATGTAACATCTTTGCTTTTTAACACTGTAAAGAGGTGTTTTATTTATTTATTTATTTTTAACTTTTTATTGTGAATTGGGTGCAATTTTACAAAGCAGATTTGTTTTACCTTCAACAGTTGATATACATTTTGTTTTGTGACGCTGATTACAATCCCCACAGTGTAACAGCCCTCCTTCCTCCTGCCTGTGGTTACCCCTTCCCTGTGTTCTTCTTACTTGTGTGTTCCTGCCTGCGTAGCTTTCTCCCTGTGCAAGTGCTGCCCTTCTGATCTCCCATGGTTGACTGTTCTAAGGAGTGCATCTTCCTGGTGTAGTTGTTCACCTTGTAGGCCTCTCTATTGTTTGGCTGAAAGATGAGCCACAGGAGTGAGTCCAATTCTAGGCCCAAAGGGTGACTTGGGGCCATAGTCTTGGGGTTTTTACCAGTCTTAAAGAGGTCTTTTGCAGCAGATTTTCCCAGTGCTGTTTGATTTCTTGACTGCTGTTTCCATGGGCATTGATTGTGGATCCAAGTAAAATGAAATCCTTGACAAGGTCAGTATTTTCTCTGTTCAGTATGATGTTGCTTATTGGTCTAGTTCTAGGGATTTTTATTTGCTTTATGTTGAGGTATAATCCATACTGAAGGCTGTAGTCTTTGATCTTCATTAGTAATGATACTGATGACTCATAGCCACCCTATAGGACAGAGTAGCACTGCCCCATGATGGATTTGAATTACCAAGCTATTGATTAGCAGCCAAATGCTTTAACTACTATGCCATCAGAGTTCCTTTGATGGTGATGAATTATAATCCATTGAATAAAATACACTATGAGCTATACTGAATTAAAAAATGATCTAATAAATAGAAAGTTTCATGAGAAATGAGATACATACATAGTTTTTCAAAGGACTCTCATAGAAAATACTTATTAATGATAGTGAAAAAGAGCTAACTTTGCAGAAGAGAAAGCCTGTGGTGGATTGAATGTTCTTGTGTGCCATCAAGTCAATTTCAATTTATAGTGATCCTATGAAAACTACCCCATAGGGTTTCCTAAGCTGTAATCTTTATGGGAGCAGATTGCTAGATCTTTTCTCCTGCAGAGCAGCTCATGGGTTTGAACTACCAACCTTTTCTTTAGCAGCCAAGCACTTAACCATTGTACCACCAGAGCTCCTCTGCTAAGCTGAATAATGGCCCCTAAAGATAGCCATGTCCTAATCCCTCACATCTGCAGATGTGATTAAATTAAAGATTGAGTGATAAGGAGATTGTCCTAGATTATCGGAGTGGGCACAGTGTAATTGCAGGGGTCCTTAGAGAGAGAGGAGATCAAAGTGTGAGAATTCAATGTGAAGACAGAAACAAAGAGGAATGCCAAAGAATCTCTAGAAGCTGCAAGAGGCATGAAACTCCTCCTGGAACTTCCCAGAGGAACCATCCCTGCCAACACTTTTATTTTACTCCCATAAA